TTTTCCTGAATCAACTGAAAAATGCTCATGTTTTGCCCCCCAACAGTTGAGGAAAGTCCTTTTCTTCCTACTTGTTACAGTTTTCCCATCTATCATTGCAGTGGTTCGATTAAACGTTCAAAATTCAATGTTTAAATTCTAACCCAGCCTTTTGTGTTGACTTCATGGCTCATTTCATAGCATTTAAGCCTATAATAGGATGCCTATAAGCTAGACCTGTTTTTATTTTTATTTTTTTTCGCCCTGTTGCTTCATATTTTTTATGAAAAAATCCGAGAACCAACAAATTAAATTGGTGTGGCCTAATAAATAAAACAAAACAAAAAATTATCAAGCCTCTAAATGTTTCAAGAACGTACATGATGCCATGTATGAGATCTTCAATTTCTTGTTATGTCTAGCAACAATGTTAGGATCTGTGCCTATTTCTTACACGGAGGTTGGTAACGTCTTAAGACATACCTGCAGAGACTGAGACATTGGCTGTGATGGTGATGATGGCGTAACAGATCAGGAACTCCTGCCAACCAGCATACAGACCTGGGGCAGGCAAACAGTCTCACTGGTTAACAATCAGGCAACATGTTGCAAAACCTTGCTGTATATTTGATTATCTGTATGTCCCAACAACAAATTTTTAAAAATGATGATAAAAAGAAAAGGGCATAACAGAAAAAATCAGGAGTGATGGGGGTAGAAGCTTGAACTTGGCCAAATGAGTTGATTTCTTACTTACCAACCATCCAGTAGCAGATTGCTGTAAATCCCAATGGTAGGACAATGAAGTATGGCAACTGTAACAGATATGTTTACATTGTATTTGTGATCAGAACCATCAAAACCATCTCTAATAAAGAATGTATTAGATAATGATTGTAAGTAGATGTCCCAACAAACCCCCACAGAACTCAAGGGATAGGTGAGGTAGGTTATATATATATATATATATATGTTGTACAAAAATTAATTCTGTCTACGAACAAAGCCCAACCAACCTCGGCTATTAGTTTTGCACAGGAAGTCCAACAATAACATTCCATGTGAACAGCAGTGCAGCAATAGCAAAAGGTAAATGTAATGTGATGAGTTCTTTATAATCTACCCTCAAAGCCTACCCTACCTCGGCTATAGTTTTGCAGAGGAAGTAGACGTCTGTTCTGTACATCCCATTTCCATGTTCACGTCTGAAGATGGGTAACTCAGCTGGGAACACCTGTGGTGGGGGAGGAGACAACAGAGAGAATTAGGAACTGCGTTAGATACAGTCAGCAATTGGCGGAAACTGACAATTGATAATTGAGATATCAAAATCTCAGTCACAAGAAATGGGACAAAAACGATGGTCTCCTAATCTGACCAAGTGATGAGAGATCAAATGATTAGAGGTCAACATATATGGAGGGATTCTGGAGGCTTAGAAATGCACCCCTGCAAATTAAGCAGCCCTTCAACTTTTCACAGTTTCTGCCCTATTCCCAATTGAAATATGTCATACAATGTCCTCAGTTGTTCCCACAAGTTTACCAAAACCCTTCTCAGAAGCTTAAAATGTGTAAAAATCTGTGTCTCTTACGTTGATAACAGAGAAGATATGAGAGAATGCGATGTTAGTCAGCATGAGGAAGAGTGCTCCGTTGATGTTCAGGATCCCGTCCTGGTTGTACTCAATCTGCAGGTACACGATGCCAACCAGCAAACCTACAAACTGTTGGGGAGATATAAGGGAATTAGAACATAGGGCTGGCCCTGTATAATCTATTACAGATGTACAGTGTTCATACTCTACAAGTAAAGGATTAGGCTTTGGCTTATTTTTGACATCTTTTAGGCTTGCCTTTTATGTACTGGTATCATTTTTTATGCCAGCCAAACGGATGGAAAATGGATACTGCCTGCCAATCTTATATTGCCATGCCAATTTGATACTGTCTTGTCAATCTGATATTGCCTTTGCAGCCACCAAAAATATCTGCTTGTAGATTAGAGTGTTCACAGTTAGCAGGAAAGTTGCTTACGATAGTCTTTTGTGTTCTTGTGATGATTCTTACCTTCAAATGACTTACAAACCCAAGGAAGCCATGGCCAGAGGCTTTAGACCCCATCTATCTTATCATCATTAACCCGTGACGAAAGAGAAAGAGGATAGTTCCTTACGATAGCCTGTCCAGTTCTGACTCCCATGATCATGGGGTCCCGGGTGTTCTGGAGATGACATCGCCACATCATGGCCAGGAACTGTTGTAGCCAGGAGGCCTTGTACCTGCAACAAAAGTTGATACATTGTCAAAAGTTGCACTGCTAATCATGAGTGGGTACAATTCTTCATGTGCACCTTTGACAGCACATGAAATCAGAGTTCCACTCACAATAGCCATAGACAACTCAGCTCCAGTATACTTGTATAGTATACTCATACAGTATTAGATAAAATAAGGAAATTACTAAATCAGAATCCAGTGACATCCATCCCTCTTCTTTAGCTGTGCTAAGAATATTCTGATTATTGTTTACATGGCTATGTAGGCTTCACTAACATAATAACATCAATAACATCGAAGATGAATTTCATTTTATCATGGAATGCTCTAGATATGATGTCCTACGTGATAATCTATTCAAATATCTCACTTCAAATACGACAGATTTCAATAGACTTGTTGCTACAGATAGATTTGATTATATATTTAAATGCAACAGCGAACACAATGCAAAAATAGGTAAATACATAAAAGACTGTTTTGTTATTAGAAAGAATACTGATTTGCTGTCACATGTACCCATAGATAACTCCGCCTGATTGTAAAGCCTAAGCTAACTTTTGATTATTTCTTTTCTATATATAAGTTGTTAAGTTTTATTCTATACCTATCTATTTTACTATGCTACTTATTTTGTTACCTACTAGTATTTGCCATACAATGTACCCTGTACAATTGTCGTGCAATAAAGTTCTTCATAATTCACAAAACACATAGCATGTCTGGTCACTATTAGATTTTCTGGAATATGAAGTTAACGGTAAAACACGCAAAAATACTACAGACCCAAACATCACAAGCGAAGAATGGACAGAACACTTTAAAGGATTAAACAATCTAATAAAACAAGAAAGCTTTAACACGGATTCAGAGAAAACAATTACTGATCGGTTAAAGCAGTTTCAGAATAATTCAACTAATTTGCTAGATTTTCCTTTCACTACAAAAGAAGTTCTAGATGGCATCAAACAACTAAAAACTGGAAAAGCCTGTGGCTTAGACTCGCGACACATAGCATATGCTTTTCCAGTCACTAGTATTTGCTACAGATGAACACTAGAGATGATAAAGTCAAAATCAGACTTACCGAGATCTCGATGAATAATCCTCAACAACCTGAAAAAAACAGAAAGATAGACTGCCTCAAACTTCATTCAAAATGTGAAGGTATATTTGATTGTTACTTACAAGCATTAAGAATCCTGTCAATAGCAACCACCTGTACACATAGACCAGATGTGTGGTCTTCTTGGGAAGTTTAGAGTAGAATTGGACAGGACACTGCAGATATTGCTTTGACCGCTAGATGTCCCCACTACAAGCATGTTCGGTTGTTGCAGAACCCACGATCAGTACCAAGGACAGCGCCAATTTCCGTATTTTTAGGATCCTAATTCGTTATAGCAAACATTAATTTCTGTCATTTTCAAAATGCTTGGATTCATTGTAAAATATGCTTATAATGTGCCCATTATGACAATAATTTCTATATTTCTTCTTGTTTCGACATGCTTTATTTCTAAGACTTGTAGATCGTCATATTTGCGTGCGTACCCCGTAGTCCACATGGTTGGCCGCAAGTTGCTTCTTTGAATCCTTGTTTTCCCTGACTTCCTGGAACTGGTCACAGATTTTCTGAAACAAAAGCAAGAATTAGTTTTGCTCTGTCCACGTTTTTCAAACCCTGAAATTTGTTGAGAATTGTTTCTATGTAATTAACATTTAAAAAAAACGATATTCCGATCTTTTTATAATCTTATAAAAACAACAAGAAAGCACAAATTTCATAGACCAGTGAAGTACTCAGAGTTGTTTTGAATTCCTTGTTTTATATTTATCATCGTGATTCTGTGCATATTTCATTGTCACCATCCTGCTAGGACACCATTTTAACCCGCAATTCGACTTTCCTGTCAGTCTGAGGTTACACCATTTCCCCTCTCTTCCTGATTCTTTATACAAAGTGAATCCAAATGGTTGCACCTCATATAACTGATTTAGCCATTGGCTATTAAAATTCAGACTTTCTGACAAAAGAATTTAATCTTCCGTACCTCCACTCTGTCTCGTGATTTCTCCTCCTTCCCGGGTCGGATGGCAAGAGTTTGGATAAAGAAGTCGGCTGGGTTGAAGGCTGGAGGACAGGCGTAACCCACACTGTGGATAAGAGCAGAACATTATTTTATCATCAATGTTTGAGCAAGAGGAAAGGAACGTAATCACGATTCAGTTTTAGCTCAATGAAAAGTTGATCTTCCTTGGGTCTTGACAGAGACGCTATGTACAGCATTTACAGGTTCATTGTACCCCTAGCTTCTTTCGACAAGCACAATGAACAGTGGACCACTGCTTAACGTCCCATCCTAAGGACTGCGACCCTATACAGTAGCGTGCATGTCGGGTGAGCGACAACAGCCGGGATTCTAACTCCCAACCTCTTGGTCCAGAGGCAGGGTTGCTAACAACTCGAATACATACACTACAAAAGCAAAAGCATTTCCTAACAATAAGCTAAACCAAACTCTGACGATAGAGGAATAGTTCACATTTTGTTACCTGCCAAAGAAGTCGATGACTTCGCTGGTTGGTCCCATGTACGCCACGCGGCCTTCTGCCATGATCAACACTCTGTGGCAACAAGAAAGTTTGTCAACAATGATCAATCATAATCTTACACCATTTACAAGTCATTACGATATCTATATTTGTGGTACTTTGAAGCTGATTACTAACATTTTAATGCAGCAAAGACTTGCCAGTACTGATGTTTTGTGAGTCACAGTTCGTAAAGCTGCTTGATGGTCCGACGATACATGGCGCAGACCTTAGACGAATGTGTGAGGTTAGTTGATGTGGGATAACTACCTAGGAACATACAAACTTCAGTCTGACTGATCTAAAAGCTTACTAATATTGCTAGATTATTAGCTTGCTAATATGTTGTCATAAAGTTGCTTACTGGTCGAACAGGGCGTATGTTTCAGACGAAGGTTGGTGGATGGTACAGAGGATGGTCCTTCCCTGGGCAGCCACACCCTGTAGTGTGTTCACCACACTCTCGGCCACGGAGGCGTCTAGTCCTGAAAATCCCTATATCCTATCTTCTACCAACCTGATGAAACTATTTTCGGAAACTAGACAGTATGGTAGAATTCCTTACTTGTCGGACATGGTGTATGTTTCAGAGGAAGGTTGGTGGATGTATTGATAGCTACGTACAAGTATCATGTAGCTGAGTAACCTATAGCTACAGGTTATATATGTATATATGTAGTAAACAGATACTAGACAGTATGGTTGCTTACTGGTCGAACAGGGCGTATGTTTCGGATGAAGGTTGGTGGATGGTACAGAGGATAGTTCTCCCCTGGTTTGCCACACCCTGTAGTGTGTTCACCACGCTCTCGGCCATGAAGGCGTCAAGGCCTGAGGTGGGCTCGTCACAGAACATCAGGGGCGGGTTGGTTAGGACCTAGAACGGACAGAACATAAAACAGAACATCAGAGGATGTTTCTCTCTTGAGCCGCCACACCCTGTAGTGTGTTCACCACGCTCTCGGCCATGAAGGCGTCCAGACCCGAGGTGGGCTCGTCACAGAACATCAGGGGAGGGTTGGTTAGGACCTAGAACGGACAGAACATCAACCAGAACATCAGGTTAGGACCTAGAGCGTACAGAACAGCAAACAACATCAGGGGTAGGTTTCTTGTTTAGGACCTGAACCGTTTGAGGAAATGCTCGATCAGTGGAAAAATCTTTATTCTCAATTTTCTATGATGAACCTGTAGGTGCAGTAGATTGCAATGCATGTGGCATGCAGTGGCCTTACTAGTGACCATAACGTGCATACGTATACGTGCTTGATCGGTTTAAGAAAATCTTCGTGCTAAACTATGAACAAACTTTACGGTCACTCCATGCGATTGCTTTGTCTTTATAACTGCTCCTCAGCATTGGTAACTGTACTCATTTGTATCTAAGAGTTAGAGTGCTTAGACGTTCTTGTTAGACGTTCTTGTTGTTTCTTGTCTTAGCCTGTCTTAAGAAAGTTACATACCTCCGAGGCGAAGGCGAGTCGCTTCATCTCTCCCCCTGAGATGCCCTTTTTCCGACCGGGCGTCCCGATCTTCGTGTCCGCACATTTAGACAGACCCATCTGGGGAAATACGACATATTAACAGTCTTTATATTACTTTGACCGCTAGATGTCCCCACTACAAGCATGTTCAGCTGTTGTTTCAGAACACACGATCAGCACCAAGGACAGCGCCAATTTTCGTCATATGGGGATCCTCCCTTTGCTTTAAGCACCTTTTAAACTGTAAGATCAGCATTGATTTCTGCCATTTCATGTTATTTTTATGAATACACAACATGTTAACAGTCTTTAAGGATCACTGGAGCCTGTGACAGAACAAATTTCAGTAATTTGCTAGGAGCCTAAAAACACCAAATTCACCAATTCCTCAACAGAAATCCATATGAACCGTTGATGTTACCTGTATGATGACTTCCTCGACGCGCGCCATTCTGACGTCATGTGGAATGTGTTTGTCCATCCGGAGTCGGGCCTGAGGAAACATAGAATTGACCATGTGAGACAGTCATGCAAGTGTCCTACAAAATTCAGCTGTCTTGTTATCCTTGTCGGTGGTTTAACAATAGAAAGGTAACATTTGCAAAGCAAAACGTTCGCATATAGCCTGCTCTGTTAATTCTTACTCTCATATATATGGTGACAGGAGTCTAAATCCCTCCTGCTATGAAATTGCAACATGATGTAACCCAACACTAGTTACCATGGTGACAGACGTCTGGTTCAGGTCATTGGCCTTATTGGTTTGGAATGGAAGAAGAAGAAGAAACAGAGCAAAAACAATATGTTTTTCTTGGTAAACATAATAAAAACAAACGCACCTGGAACCTGAGATGTTCCCTGACCGTGAGAACACCAATGAACAGGTCGTCCTGCTGCACGTAAGCAGACACGGCGGTGATGTCCTTTCCGATTGGCTGACCGTTCACCTGTGCCCATATATGGAGACATACGTCATCAATATGTGGCAACATTGGACTGCCACATCAATTACTTGCTTGCTTGCTTCTAAAAAGCTAGTCATTTGTTTATTCATGAAATCCTCGAATCAGCCTGTTGTGTCCGCTTTTTAGGTAATGAGGAAAGACAAAGTCAGACAAAATATAACAAGCTGTATACAGGTTACATGACTGAAGATCTAACATATAGGCACATATCTTTACAGATAATAGTTAATTCTTGTTTGTATTACACTCGATGATACTTGCTTAATAAGGTCTCCTAAAATACGTTTTACAAACTGCGAGATCTAGTCTCGATCGATAAAAACAAACAAACAAACAAACAAGTCTGACCTCCACGGTGCCCTCCACCGACAGGTTTCCCCTGTTCCGGTAAGTCAGCACGTTCAGTAAGGTGGACTTGCCTGCGCCGCTGGAGGGGGGAATTAGAATGAGTGTGTTCATTAATATAATATTTAAGGCTTAATGACCCGCCCCGAGGTGAATATGGTGTGATAAAGCCTTGTCAGTTGCTATAACCACCGAATGAAGCCACAGAGTGAGCGCAGCGAACGTTCTTTTTATTGACACAACAAAAAGTACAGGGACTTTTGTGTAGTCTTTTACAACTAAACGTCTAACAAAGCTAACATACATGTACATGTATGAATAACGTCACCCTACGTACAGAATATATGTATGCGGCAAATTACGTACAGAAAATATGTGCCTTTTCCGTATTTAGTATACTGAATTCCTTAAAACCCCAGCCTACATGCACCTATGGTGGACGGTTTTTACGCAACGTCGTAGATTTGAGAAGTAACGGGTGCTTGTCGGGACGAAAAAAAAAACATCGTAGTTTCAGCGTACTATATAAATGACCAGGGGGACATTATCAGAATTTGATCTTTGATTGTTGGATATCAGTCTCATGACGCACTCGTTCAGATCGCCACTACCGTAAAATGTTTGCACGACTTTTGGACCCTACGTGTTTTATGATAACGCAGTGCCTTTAAATCATTTAGCCGGTGGAAAAGTACGAAGACTCGGATCTTACCTGGCTCCCATGATGGCCAACAACGTTCCCGGTTCCACAGTCCCACTCACTAAAACAGCCACAAAATTGGACAATATCAGTATTAGAAATGATCCGAAATAGCATGTGGAGCTCTGAGGCCCAAAATGCCATAAGAGCCTTTTGACAAAAGATCCAAAACAGTATCAGAACAGATCCTAAACAGAGTGATGTTAAAACGGATGCATGTAAGAACTTTTTATTCAACGGTGATGTCTTGAAATTTGCCCAAAGTTTCCAGTTACTAGTATTAGCTTCTCAAACATGCTTCTGTCATTCTACCACGTCCCTGTGTTTACATAATGTCTGACCGTACGTTCGTCTGATGTCTGACCGTACGTTCGTCTGACCCTGCCATTCCCAGCCTTCATTTTCTCACGTCAGCAACTTGTCACATGGCGTCATGTTATGATTACGTAAGTTGCGTAACTCAGCGATCTTCGATGGTCTGTTTAAAACGCCACAGCAAATGTTTTCTGTGCTACAAATTATAGTTTCGTACTTTTTTTATATTTCGTTTGTTGTCACGAACTAATACCCATTGTTGCCACCCCGTGAAGTAATTCGTCATTAACTACACACACGCACACACACACACATGCTCACACACACACATGCTCACACCCACACACACACACACACACACACACACACACACGACACACACACACTCACACATACACTCTCACACACACGCACAAACACACACACACACACACGTACACGCAAACACACACACACACTCAAACACACACACACTCTCTCACACACACACACTCACTCACACACACACACTCACACACGCACACTCACACGCACACACACACACACACACACACGACACACACACACACACATACACACACACACACACACACACACACACACACAACCACACACACACACACACACACACACACACACACACACACACACACACACACACACACACACACACACACGCACACGCACACGCACACGCAAGCGCACACACACACGCACACGCACACGCACGCGCGCGCGCACACACACGCACGCACACACGCACACTCACACGCACACACACACACACACACACACGACACACACACACACACACGACACACTCACACACGCACACACACACACGACACACACACACACACACACACACACACACACACACACACACACACACACACACACACACACCAAACCCGTACGTACCACCCTTGAGGATATGAATCGGCTCCAAGTCTTCCGGCTTAGCCTTACGGCAGCACCCACCACCCCTTGCCGGCGCGCTCACGTGTATATCCGCCCATCTTAGCGTGATCCGATCCCGGTCCCCTACGGCCACAGGCACCGGGGAGCCTCGGCCATTCGGGCGGGCGGGGGATCCGTTCCGTCCCGCCGACAGAGAGCCGTTCGCCGCTGGTTTCGGGCTCCCCGATAGCAGAGCGGTCCGTTCTGTAGCGTCCTCCATGACTTTTCACGAGGTTGTCCCTAACCTGACCTACACGGTTCATAGACTTTCACCTGGTATAACCTTAGTCTAGTTCACAGGCTTTCCGGTGGGCCTTTAACATTGTCATTTTTCCCGGCGCAGTCACATTGGGTGTAGGCCGTTGTGCGATTTTGATGCCGTAAAGTTTTCTAGCAGACTGTGAATAACCACCGACAAGTGTATCAGAGTTTATTTTTCCGTAAGAAGACTGCTGAATTTTGTTGTAGGACACATGTACAACCTTCCCTACAATTCCAATACAGGTTAGGATCCCATGCTCCAATGTGACAGGCCCTTAAGCAGTTATTTTTAGTCCTTCCAATTTTCATAAACACTTGTATGCATCATTCAGAACACGGGCATGATTTTAAGAAACACCTAATATAAGAAGAAAAAAAATGACGCATAGGAATGCCTATTGCAGAGCCAGCTACGAGGCTCTTGCAATCTTTGCGATTGGAGTGAGTTGACCTGAGTTCGATTCGGTAACGGACCAAAGTCTACCTTTCAGATGAGTCAACATACCTCCTCTTGCGTAAGGTGCAATATGTAAATTTTCCTCTTGCGTAATTTGCGTAATCATGCGGACATTGGTCTCATCGTAGTGCCCGGTCACAAACGCCGTACAATCGTCGTACCTTTGTCGTGTCATCGTCGTACAATTGTCGGAAGATTGTCGTACAATACAAAACTGAGGACATTCTTGGTATACGGCAAAATATCGGAGACTTACTTCAGTCATTCGTAAAAGTGTAGCACAAAATTTAGCTGTCTTTTCACGGAAAAAATGTCGTATATACTGTCATGGGCTTCGAACCATGACTTTGAGAGTATGGCGACCTTAAATAAGTGAACTAAGGTCATTATGACCAAAGTCTGACTTAGCTCACTGTACGAGTCTAGTCAGGCACTTTATGGCCCACTTGCGTAACAACCTTATGTTTACTGTCTCCCGTAACACTTGTGCTGTCAAACTAGTATTTGGGACACGTCGGCAGAACGTACTGCGCCTATTCCGGATTTTTCACAGTTTTCGTTGGATGTTTGGTCATTGTTACATCGATAATTAGCCCATTGCAGACGATATCTTCTCCGACACAACATTTGAAAACTATAGACGGGATATATATAGGAATACGACCTCACACGAGATGTTCTCCCGAAGTGCTATATGTATTATCTTCTGAAGCTTAGTTCAATGTGAGGACTTGATATTTTTCTAAAAACGATAGTGCGAACTTACCCAAAATATTTACCCTATACTATTCTTCTGAATAAACACATTTCATGTCAACATAACATTGTTTCATGATCACAAAACAACGAAAGGAAATATTCCACAGAAATGTTGAGTAAAAACATATTTATTGTTTTGTACAGAGGTGACATATAACAAGTTATATACTAACAAATAACATTAACGCATAGTGTTATATGTCTGATTCTATTCAACAAAACGTTTATAGACATCAAATATTCCAAGTTAAATCCTCACATGGATGTCATTGTACTATTTCTGAACACAATTTTGTACTTTGTTCGAACGTTCAGATTTGTGTTAAGATAAAGAAAAACATTCTGTGGCAGTTTGGAGACTGTTGTTGCATATTGTACAAATTGTAGCAACAAAGTGTCAAATTTCTGTATCAGAGTTAACATATATTTTACTCAGTACAACCTATCGTACTTCATTGTAAAACATTTTTCAAAATTGTAAAATCTCAAAACATATGGCCTCCCTGTTCATGAAATTATACAAAAAAACTTGAATGATTGCTCCTTTATCAAGAACCTCTCAAATGTTCATTTTTCCGTTTTAATTTCCAATATTCTCAAAAAACGAGTGAAATTGCTGTGTTTGTCCATTTTTTTTACTATAGCCCTTTTCCCTCGCATTCAAGTATCATCACACTTTGAGCTCTTGCAAAATCCATTTTACAACTGGCATTTCTTCAACAAGTTCAAGCGACACGTTTCGTTTGAGATCTATTCTTGCATATAATACATTAAACTCAAAAATTACAAGAATAGACAGAAAATTAAAAATAAAAGGTAGAACGATCTCAACAATCTCAATTCCACTCAACGAGAGAACACTGCTAAAGTCTTTTGTGCGGATCAAACTTCAACCTTGTGGTAAAACAAAAACAGTGAAACCTGAATCATGCTGACGATAAAAACATAGTCCTCCAGCTTCAGGTAATAAAGAACTGCTTCCAGTTTTGCCTCCGTTCCTTGACTCAACTTAATGTGCGTTAAGGATCAAGAACATCGATTTTTTGGTTATTTCATCCTCATCTGTATCTGTATCTGTACAGATCATCGGACTTCTCAAATGTTCATTGGATCCTAAGTTCTTGATTTTTCGCCTAAGTTCTCAAGGCGTCCTTAACATCACGTCTTGGCCTCCTCAGCACCGCAAAAATGACAACAACAAACTGCCAGGCACCTCTGACCTCTTCCGGGAGTCACATAATTGAAATGTCACGTGACTGGGTCATTCATCTTGAAGATGGCCGTAGATGCGACCTAACATTCGGTGACTTCCGATTCCTGGGGCATAAGTTTCAAGTTTACTCTCCACAAGTATGAGACTTTCGGAGTCACGTGATTCAAAGTTACGTGTCCAACTTGATTGGGTCATTCATGTTGAAGATGGCTGTAGGTACGGCCAAACATTCTATGACTCGTACTTTTCCACTTTTCTCTCCAAAATGTGAGATTTCTGGCTGGCAAGTTTCACCCTTTGTCTCCATAAAAAGGAGATTCTCCATCAGTGTGAGATTTTGTTCCTCCTGTTTTCCAGCCTAACCAAACGTCGCTGACGGGTACCGAGATATCCTGTGACGTCGGTATCTTCGGCTCTGGCGGGCCGTACTTTAAACTGTCAACTTTCCTCTCAACAAATATGAGGTTGCGTTCTTTTCTCCATAAAAGTGAGATTTCGCTTCATGTATTTTCCAGAACCAAACGTCGCTGACGGGTACCGGGCTACTCCTCCTGAGAGGGCGGTATCTCCGGCTCGGGCGGGCCGTACACGAAAGGCGGCAGAAAAGTGGCCAACACGCCGATCCCGCACAGGATGATGAACAGGTACATGCTGATGCGGTCCACAACCATTGCCACGTACTTCCAGTCGTCAGCCACCTGAGGAAACCGAGAACACAGAAGGTGAGGAACATTATGTGTTGCTGTGCAACTTCGATCATATATACCGAACACACAAGGTACAATGTAAGAGGCTAGGATGATGAACAGGTACATGCTGATGCGGTCCACTACCATGGCAACGTACTTCCAGTCGTCAGCAACCTGCGGAAACAGAAAACACAGAAGGTACAATTTAACAGTTTTAACTCATCGTTAACATAGAATTGCACGTTTCTGATTACATAAACTGAATACAATATGTCATCTCAATAGACGGAATCAGAGGAGGATGCATGATACATGCTGATGCGGTCCACTACCATCGCCACGTACTTCCAGTCATCTGCAACCTAGGGTGCACAGGGCAAACAAAGGTAAGATACTGTTAGTTGCAAGAGAAGCATTATCTTCAGACATACAGTAGCAGCCATGGCATAGAAAAATTTGTGATGACATAACATACATTAAACATAGAGTCTTGTCCTCAGTTCACACGGTGTTGAAAGTTCATCATGGCGTATACGTAGGGATGCAAAATTTGACTAAACGCTAGCAGTAATGAAGTTGCCTTGCCCTACCATCTGACGAAAAAAGGCGCCATGCTTCGTCCTTGCGCTCTACTTGCCTGTCAGCCTTGCCTGGTAGACCCTATTTTCGGTAACAAATTAGTGGCATATTATCCTACCTGTCCACCCTCTATCTCGCCCTTGACGTGCTCGGCGATATACTCCACGCCTTTAACCGCCGGGTCCAGTTCGGCCATTAGGCTGTCCGGGACGCCGCCGCGCTCACGCCGGTGGCGGGACCTGGGAAAAAATTAGAAATTAAACTTGAATAATTAGTAGAAAGGTAACATTTGCAAAGTAAATGCAAAATGTTTACCTTCACATTGTCTAGTCTAACTGCTACTGCTCTGTTTATTTTTACATGAGCGCATACTGTGTGTCGTGGTGTGTGTTAGAACGGACCACATGAAGAATAGCTACATGTACTGTCATGTATGCTAAGTGTGGATTTCAATTAACTCTACTCAACATTCATATATACCACAGCCACTTGCTACATATGTAACCCAACACCACTGGGTGTCTGCTACAGCGCCAGTTACCATGGTGACAGACGTCTAGTGCTATTTAGTTGTTTGGAACGGAAGAAGAAGAAACTGAGCAAAAACAATGTGTTTTCCTTCTGCGATACAGATACCATGTCCTCTACATTTTGTACATTAAGTTGTAGTGTGGACTCGTTGTCGTCGACTACGGGCTCATTTTGCTACTCTGTATATGCAAATAAAACAAACAAACAGACAAACAAACAAACAAACAAATAAATACCGACCTGAGCACGTTCCCGCCGCCCAGGTCCGAGCCGCGCCCTCCGTCCTCGTCCCGCAGTGAGTCGGAATCGCCGTCATCCGGGCGGCCCATCCGCAGCAGCTTCGGCAGGATGTGCAGGAACACACGCTTGCCCCACCTGAAGGAAAGGGTGCACATGTTTTACTAAAACGCAGTTGCAGTTCTTGAGAGACTCGCTAGGAGTCCGCGTCGCCGTTATCAGGGCGGCCCATGCGGAGCAGCTTCGGCAGGATGTGCAGGAACACGCGCTTCCCCCACCTGCATGGGGGGTATCGGTAAACAGCTTTATAACACATGTATAACACAAAAACCCAGCTGCAGTTCTTAACAGACGCGCTAGGAGGACTGCAATCTTATAGTGTTTTTTCGTGCTGAAAAAATACACACGTATCCACTTGCCTCACATGAGGGGTACGGAACGCAGATTTATAACAAAAACGCAGCTGCAGTTCTTAAGAAAGCAACAAGGGGGCCTTACCTGGGCATCTCATCCGTTCGGTGATGCAGGTGTAACACCACGCACGTGATGATCACAGAGATCGTACAGACCACGTTGGTGAAGAGCAGATACTTGGCTAGCAGCGGAATAGCAAACGACGTGGCAGGAATAATGGTAAAAATCACCAACAGGAACACAGACAACGACAGCAGAATCGTGATAGCAAGTCCGACTTTTTCTCCCGCATCCACGGGTAAATAAAACACTAGGATGGCCAAGAACGTGAAAATCAAGCACGGAATCACCAAGTTCACGGTGAAGAAGAGTGGCAACCTGTCTAGGACAATATACGCGGTGATGTCAACATACGGCGGGCAGCATTCATATTCAACCACGCTTCTCACAAGCGGCGTGTCTACGACGACAAACTCTCCGCTTTCTCTGAAGTTGGACAAGTCAATCTGTTCCTCCAAGGGTTTCATGTCGATGAGTGTGAAGTCGTAAGTCCAGGTGCCGAACTTCATCTTGCAGGTTTGACGATCGAAGGGAAAGTTTGTGACATCGATGTAGCAGTAGGATTTGTAGATGCCGGCCGGAATCCACTCAACGGTTCCGTTGTAGAACACCTTGGCCCAGGTGTAGGAAGAAACGTCAAAACGGCCGTCAGCACTGCAGAAAAGGAAGGAAGGAAGGAAGGAATGAAAGAATGAGTGAGTGAAGGAGAGAATGTAGCAGTAGGACTTGTAAATGCCGGCCGGAATCCACTCTACGGTTCCGTTGTAGAACACTTTGGCCCAGGTGTAGGAAGAAACGTCAAAACGGCCGTCGGCGCTGGAAAAATAAACAGAAGACGTAGTGAATATACATGCTAACCCTTTGGTCTGTCCATTCTCACACACATTCCTTGACGCGAAACCCACAAATCCACAATGTAGCCACCCAAACCAATACTCACTTGTTGTAGAGCAGCACATCGGGTACCCAGATCATGTCAGGCGGGACCTTGAGGTACTTGACCCCGTCATAGTCATCCGGGTTCCAGGTCAGCTTGTAGTCATCCCAGCGCTGGTTTAGCCACACGCTGGTCGTCAAAACTTGGTTCTTCTCATCCTGGATGGCAAAGAATTCATGAAATCATCATAAAAAAGTGGTTCTTTTCATTCTGAACCAGGGAGGAATTCACCAAAATCAGGAATGGCAAGGTTGTCTGAATCTAAGTCGTCAAAACATGGTTCTTTTCATGCTTTAGACATGCTATACTGTGTGGATAGCTCTACATGTTGCAATGACTGGAAGCGCCGTCAGGGGGCGATATAATCAGTGAGTACCTACTACCGTAGTTTGCAGTATAGTATTCTCCTTGTTGATGTACCGATATAATACCATATACCTCTCATGAGACTGAGGCATTCCGATTAAGATAACGAGATATGGCCGGTCTAGGACACACCGTTGAAAAATATTCTGTGTACATGTGTGCCTATACGCTATGACCTACTGCAAAAGGGTTACGTTTCACTAATTGTAGAAAAACGTGTTGACCATTAGGCCATGTTAATTTGATTATATGGATGACATCCACGCGCGCATGAATTTTCGGCCGTTTCCAAAAAAAAAAGTTTTCAACCATACTGTAAATCGTACAAAACAGTTGCAAAATGAGCAAAAATATACCATAAGTTACCAAAAAAAAATAATAAAAACTAGAATTCCGAGATCTCATACCTCCATGAAATATGATCTTGATATGTAAATATAAATTTCTTCTTTAATTGTGCAAATGACCTCTGCATTAACATGATATATGCATCGTGATGTATGTTAACTTTTGATTAACTTACAGATGTCCCAAGTATGACATTCTCATCATTCACCATAACGAAATTATAGAATTTTCGCATTAATTATGCAAATTAGGTCATCATTTGCATAATTAGTATCTGTTGAAGTTCCGCCTGCCATAGGTTACATACAAGTAGTATAATGTAAAACACTGTAATTATAGAATTTCCTCATTAATTATGCAAATTAAGTCCTCATTTGCATAATTTGCCTTTAATTATGTACATCTCTCTCTCTCAGCTACCTACACACCAAAAATAATGAAGACATTCTCATCATTCACCATTACGAAATCATAGAATTTTCGCATTAATTATGCAAATTAGGTCATCATTTGCATAATTAGTATCTGTTGAAGGTCCGCCTGCCATAGGTTACATACATCACATGTATGTAAGTAGTATAATGTAAAACACTGTAATTATAGAATGTCCTCATTAATTATGCAAATAAAGTCCTCATTTGCATAATTTGCATTTAATTATGTACATCTCTCTCTCAGCTACCTACACACCAAAAATAATGAAAATATGTTGTTCCTGTCTGGACTTATTGGCTTTTAAACTATTTCGCCAGAAAGTGCCCTGCAGTTCCAGAACAAGCCGCTAGGGGGCTTAAACTCATATGACTTCTTCCCAAGCACGAGAGCTACCTTCCATCAAAATTTCATGACCCTAGCATGTCCAGATCGCGAGATATCAAAACCGGAAGTCGCGCTGCAGTACCAAGGGAAGCCACTAGGGGGACCAAAATCTAATCATTTCTAGTTTTCGTCACACCCTACCAACACACCAAGTATGAAACCAATCCATCCAGGCGTTCTTGAGTTATCTTGTAGACCAACAGACGGACAGACGGACAGATGGACAGACGGACAGACGGACAGACGGACAGATAAACGCGACTGAAAATATAACCTCCATGACACATTTCATGGAGGTAACTATACCAATGTCGTAGAATGCCAAAATCAAACGAAAAAAGACAAAATTGTAAAGAAATGAACTTGAAGACTAGATTATTCGCCAAACCATATTCTGTGCCATTTGCTCAACCCTCATGACCACGTAGATTTCATAATGAAAAGAACTTTTTTTTTTGCAAAACTTTTTTTTATTCGCACGCGCGCATCAGTTTTGGGGCTCCCGGAGGATGTCATCCATATAATCAAATCAACATGGCCTTAATAAATCGTGGTGTTGTTCTGAAAATCTATCAAAATAATGATATAAAGACGGCATTTCCCTTGTCCTACTTACCATATCAATAAGTTGAGATAAAGAAATTCCAAAGTGGACGGTAACTTTGTCTGTGATGTTCTTGACCGGCCGGGGAAACTTGTGATAGACGTCAAAAATGTCCGAGATCAGCCGCTCACTCGCCCCCGTCTGAGATAGACCTGGGGGAAAACAAATAGATTTTTAAAACTTTTATTTAACCTTACGTAAATGGTGATCTTCAGAGCGTTTGGTCCAGAGCCAAGAGGTCTCGAGTTTGATCCCCAGATATGCTCCCGTTTGAGATAGCCCTGGTTAAAACAAAGAGATTTTTTTGAAACCTTTATTTAACTTTAGTCAGGTACGAGTCAGAGTGTTTGGCTTAGAACCAAGAGGTCCCGAGTTCGATCCCCAGACATGCATCCGTCTGAGATAGACCTGCGGGAGGAAAAACATCTTTTCTTAAATCGTTTTAGAGACTTTGAAACAGGCACTCTTAAATTTAATATGTACTGGGCTCAGAGGCCAAAAGGCCAACTGGCCTAAGCATCTCCCACCGCCAGTGTAAGAGGATAAATGACCAATCACGACTACACAAACACCCCTTACAGCGTGGCTAGCGGAAACCTAGCCTCTACCAGGCTTCGGGCGGAGGATGGAAAGAATAGAAATCGGCCAGATAGAGAGATAGCATGTCGGAGGAGTTGGTCCGCTGGAGAGAGCAGTTTGCCGCAAAACGTACTCTCTATTGAACCACTTCCCTTGGCATGCTGTCTCTCTATTTGGCCGATTTCTACTCTTTTCAACCACCTCCCGATGCCTGGGTTGTTGGTCTGTACTGGGTATAGCCGGTATAACCGCCCTTTGGCGTAACACGCCAGCTTCGCAGGCACGCGGCGCGGCGGCAGTTGGCTATATTACACCAAACGTCTGTACTGTGTAAGAGGATAAATGACCAATCATGACTACACAAACACCCCTTACAGCGCGTGCCTGTAGAGAAAACAGACCTGTGTTGTTGATCTGTACAGGGTATAGAGGCGGCCGCCATGGTTCTCATACCTAACATGACTGCGTGCCAGCGGTGGGGACAGATCACACACAGGTCCTACAGGCTAATCTGGGCTATATTTCCTCACGTATTCATCTGTCCTGATATAGTCACCATATTATATATATATTATGCTTCTGAAGTCCCTCCTAACTACAAAACAAGCTTAAAATGAAACTCAGCCCATACTTTAAAACATAAGTAATACCTAACATGACTGCGTGCCAGCGGTAGGGACAGATCACACACAGGTCCTGTAGGCTAATCTGGGCTATATTTTCTCGCATAGTCACTTGTCCTGTTGTTGTCGCCATATTAGATATATTATACATCTAACAAAAGTCTATCTAACTACATAACAACCCAGTGTGGAGACTATGATTTAGTGGACTTTGCTTCTTCTTTGTAGAATGGAGATGTTAGAACAGATATGCCGTTTTGTGGTTGAACTTTTGTCTTAATGTGATGAAAATATGACTGTGTCCGTGTCAGTATAGTAGTACCGGACGAACGTTGTGAAATGTAGCCGAATGAAATGTAGCCGAAACATTCAGTAGCAGACGGACGTTGTGAAATGTAGCCAGTTGAAATGTAGCCAGCCCCGGGGTAGGTGAAACACCAATGTGTCCGTTTCAGTACCGGCCGGACGTTGCGAAATGTAGCCAGATGAAATGTAGCCAGCCCCGTGCCCCGGGGTAGGTGAAACATGATCTGATGAAGTGTAACATATGTAGCGATATGTCACAACCCGAACACAGCTGTCTCATTTTCTATTTTGATCACTTATCATTTATTGATCTAATTGTTCACAATTTAAGTTATACGAAACATCTCAACATTCTGTTCATATCACTGTCCATTGGGGATAGGTTTCAAACTCACAGGAAGATATGGGGGACATATGTGAGTTTTATACTCAACTGTCATGCACGAAATATTATTTTCCGTTTTTATCTCTTGGCTCTTGTAAATGTAATGTGGATTATTTCAATTTGTATCTTTCTAATTCGTCAGTTTAAGGTCGATTCAAATGCCCATCAGACATACAAAGTATCTTAAACATATTGTGCCGTTCTTGGCTTTTAGCTAAGTTTTCAAACTAGAAACACAAAGACACACACATTTCGTCCGTAGAAACCCACGTTTTCATACAGACACAAGTTATGATATGACAGGATACGATATGATATGATTTGATGCGGTGTGACACATGCATCACACCCTGTTTCCAGCTGTTGTAATCGGAAAGTCAATCTGTCTGACAACTAGTTTCCGTTTACAAACCATAAACACTCGCCACACGGACTACAGCTTAAGTTTCTCTCACCAAGTGTAACATTTCCGGCACACCCCTGCCCTTCAGGGGTCAAACGGGCAACATGTAGCAAATATGTGACCGCTACATGAGCGTCTCATACTGTTACTTTACCATCACATGGCTACGTTACTGTGTTAATGCTACATTACCATGACCGCCACAAAAGCATCCCTCACGGCTACATTACTGCCACACCGCTACATTTCAGTGTTAATGCTACATAGCTGTGACTGTTACATAGTTTTGAGGATTATCCAGTTCCATTTGAAGGTTAACTGTCTGGATGTGGCGGGTAAAAATGTGTGACATTCACCCCCAGTAACTTGTAGCGGTTTACGACCCCGCTGAACTAGGCCTAAAGGTCATGGGTTCGAATCCCGGCCTGTTGCCCTGTTGTCGCTGTACCGACGTCCTTACTACTGACCGGGGCTGTAGACCCTACTCTCCAAGCAGAGCATGCCCATAGCCAAGGGGGGTTTGAGGATTCGGAAGAACAAGGCTCAAAGGTCCAAGATTTTTCTTTGCAAGATAGACTGATCAATATCACTAGCGAGGTTGGAATCGTAGAAAAACGGCTCACTTTGTCATTGAATAGAAAGTTATGTCTGATATTCCTTTGAAATCCTCTGAAAAACACAGGAAATGCCATTTTGGAAGGTTCAATTTTCAGAAGGTTCAATTTTCAGAAGGTTCAATTTTCAAAATTTTCCGGGGGAGCATACCCCTAGGAACCTCGCACCTTCGATGGTCCCTCAGACAGTGGTAAGACCCCCCCATTCAAAACCCTGGCTACGGGCATGCAGAGGTTTAGGATTCGGCTTCTTTTTGACATCTGAATGGAATAAAATGTCACAGTGCTTCGTGTTGAGATGCTGTATATATAGCCTCCTTCAGGCAGTATAATACGGAAAGGATCAGAATTTCTTAAATGTCTTTCGTCTCAAGATAGAAAAGAAGAAATCTGTCAGATGCGTTGATCTTTCCCGACGCCTTAGATCTAAGGGAGAGTTCCTATCACAGATATTACAGGAATGGTGGCTGATTAAAGTTTGTTCTATTATCTGTATCTGTATAGCGGACTCATGGACTCATGATCATCAGCCTGTTCTGGTATTTCATAATGACTGCATTTTTTATCGCATATGGCGACATGAATTGGAAATATGTATCTAGATTTTTTTCAAAGATAACTGGAAGTGTTTTCCATTAGTTATTACAAAGAAATATATGCATTACGATATATCTGATTCAACAAAGCTTTTTGTAGGTAAACAAACCTTTTTTTTTTTCTCTACAAACATTTTGGCAGCTGCTCTGATGCCTTCATTTGGGTGATGTGCTTTTGACGGATCTGCAAAAAACGAATGCAGCTGGCCAGGGGAGTTGGTCGGCCATAGAGGGTCCAGTTTGCCGAACTCGTGGCAATCTACATTCTTTTTAGGTCGATTTTTACTATTTATTCAGCCTGCAAAGAAGTCTGGTGGAGACTAAAACCTCTGCTTGGAGACTACCAGAATGGGTACAGTAAAATCTTGGTTGATAACTCTGATATCTGAAGGCATGACTGTTTCCTGTTCTCTTCTGGGCTGGTATCAGGTAGTTAGTAGTTGGTACGTCCATCAGTTTATTAGTCATTTTGTACATCATGCACAGTCTGGACATTTTTCGTCATGATGTCTACACAGCACGAAAGCGGATATTTAAGCAAACTGTACGACATCCGTATTGAGACTTTAAAGACAGGGAAATATTTCAGCAGACTTTAAGATCGATTAAAGAGGGTCTGCATGCCCTTTTTCGTTAACCGTTATGGGCTAGTTTAATTTACCGTTAATCGTTGCCGGTCCGCTCTAATTCAACGTTAAGCGTTGTCAGTATATTCCTCGTGAAGCGTTATGGGTTGTTTTAATTCAACGTAAAACGTTATTTGTCATCCTGAATTCAGCGTTAAGCGTTAATAAATAATTCTTCGTTACGCCTAATTTTGCCTATCAAAGTGCAGGAAAATGCGTCATTGAAGGTTTAAAAATACAAAATTTCCCGGGGGAGAATTCCCCCGGACCCCCCTACATTGCTCGCGCCTTTGGCGCTCGACTCGCGCTTCTGCGCACTCGGGGACCAGGGCAGGTGGGGAACACAGGGAACACATATCTTTAATGCAAGCTTCATTACATGTATTAATAAAGGTATACGTAATTTTGTCAGTGATCAACTTTTCCACAAAGCGAGATACCAAATCCAGTGCAGCTCGAAAAAAAAAGCCTGTCAATTTACCGTTAAGCGTTGCCGGCCGTCCTGAATTTACCGTTAAGCGTTATCGGTCCTGCTAAATTTACCGTTAACCGTTGCCAGGACCCCCCCATGCAGACCCTCATTAAAGTCTACTGAAAAAGAAATCTAATCTTTACGAAGGATTTTCGCAGTTGTAAATGTAACGTATTACTTCATGTTTCTTTACCTATATATCTGTGGTGTTTGGCATCTGAACCAGAATGGACCCGTTAGAATCTGGGTCAGACTGATCCCAACATGACGCCAGGCGGCACCAGACGTCTAATCGCTGGCTTCAGCTGTAAAGTTGATTTGATTTGAAAAAAGGCGAATGCAAATTCTAATTTATGGCACAACTGGGACAACATGGGTAATAATCCTCGAAATGTATCTTTATAGATGTGTGCAGTGAAAATAAAACAACCGCTTTGAAAATTAAACAATACAAAAGGCATTTACAATGAGCTAAATCCTCGGATTTGCTATGGGATTATCATTTGTTATCATCATTTTGTCGTAATATCGAACCTTATCGTCATCTGTAGTATTGGGGAGGGCCAAAGATACACCGCCAGGTTTCTGGGCCCCCCATGCATGTCTATTTTTCAATTGTTACATTTTAATTTATTTGTAAGTGCAAAACAATAAATAAACAAACAACACATCTGCAGCAATTATAATAAGGGGAAAGATACTCAAACTGAGAGTAAGCCTCACTTCTGCTAGCTATATAGGGGATTATCAATTATCGTTTTGTTGTAATATCGATCAAGTCATCGATCCGTATCAGTGAATTTGTGCTCAGCAACCGTTTAACCTGATTCAGTTATTCTCTCTTGTGGCAGCTAGCCGTTTAATTATGGTATGGGTAGAATGACGCAGGTAAAACAATCACGACAAAAAAGCATACAATCACGTACACAAGCCAAGCTACACTTCTACTTGGAGATTATGCTGTTGTTCTTGCTATTGCTTCGCTAGACGTAGTCTATAGATGCTGGGATTTACTTGGTTCAAGTCCATACTTTCTCCCTTCTAACTCCATGGTTTCATCCTTTGGTGATTTGAGTCTGGTCGTTGCTGATAGTGTTTCTACTAGATGTGATAGAGGCAATATGGAAGCAGTCTTCCGTATGACTGAGTTTTTATGCACCTGTCACATGGTTATCTGGCCTTATCTCGACTGCGGCATTCAGCTGTTAAATGCCAATTGAAAGGCTTCCAAAACACGAGCGAACGAGAAACGTACGAACACGCAAGCCAATGGCTTACAAATAGTTGGAGATCATCATGTTGTAGATGTTGATTGGGAAGATCGTGACATTTTTCTATGCACCGTTTTCTGCCTGACAACTCGCCTAATAAACAGTGGCCCATTCAAGGATAGTGCCTTACCGGTTGGTTGGTTACGAAGTGGCTACCTAAATATCTGCTCGGAGATTAGAGTAAGATTGTCCGTCCTATGCTGTGGCATCTGACAGTTTAATACTGAAAATATCGGCCATACTGCGATGACATAGAAAACTGATGAATTAAAACTCTACATCTGCCTGAAGTATTAGTACAGTTGATCTGCTTCAAGTATAAGCAGAGTTGAATCATTCCTCGGCTAACTGCGATCATCCAAACACCCTACATCTGCTTAGAGGTTGACACAATTATATATATTGCGGTAATATCTGCCCAGTGGTCCGCGCCAGTGCGTGTAACCGGACACCGATGGGTGTAACCCGATCCTACCCGCCAGGCTGCGGCATGTGTCCGTGTGGTGCCATCAGCCTGTGTGTTGATTAGACTTCATTATCCACCACTATTCTTAGCCGGGCGGCAGAGATGCTACATTGTAGCAGAATGTAGCCTCCCAAGCAGACTTTGTAGCGGCTTGAGTGTCTGTGTTTCCGCGATGCTACATTGTAGCTTTTATTGTAATAAACAATCAATAAACACAATGTAGTCTCCTGTGCAGACTTTGTAGCGGATTGAGTTTGTTTCCACGACAATGCCATGTATACATGTAGCCTTCTGAGCAGACTTTATAAAGGCTTGAGTGTGTTTCCGCACTGCTATTGTAGCCTCATATTAATATATATTTCTTTTTTAGCATTGTATACCTTAGACCTGATGTTAGCCCTTCTTTATCACTATTGTTGTAGTACTCTCCAATACGTTGTACTCTGTACATCTGTGCATTTATCCCCCCGGGGAATGAACATGCAATAAAAGTTTCAGTAAAAAAAAAGTTTCAATTAAACAGACCGTATGTAGCGGGTAGCGTTTGTTTCTTGAGATGATACATTGTAGCCTCCTGAGCAGACTTTGTAACAGTTGTAACATGTTGTAAGAGCTAGCGTTTGTTTCTAGCAGCCTGGCAGTTTCAGAAAATTTTTGTTTTGAGGGAGGGTTCTGTGTCTGTGTCTGTCCGCCTAGGCTCTATATAACGATTTCTCCAAATGGATTCAAAGGGCAAAGTTAAGTGCATATTGACATGTGATAACTCATGTATTGCACATTTAGGGCAATACTTCAAACGATGTCTAGACCCTAGAAGATCCACCATTGATTTTAGGGGCACATATTCAATCATATAGTATAGACGACTCTCAAATTTTAGTGTAATGTAGGTTAATCTATTAGTATGTTTGTTATATGGGAGTAGATACCATATATGCGTTGTGAGTCGTTCAACTATTGGGCGATAAAGTGTAATGTTATATTACCTGTCCTCAATATCCAAAATGACAATCTAGATCTACAAGCAGATGTCCAGTCGTAGTTCGATTTTTCTACTGTTTTCTACTGTTTTTCATATGTACAGTAGATGCCATGCATTGCATCTCTTCTATTTATTCGTTATTGTGCAATAAAATTAAAGTTAATACTATATTACAGCAATCTCCAAAATTACAAGCTCCAAGCTTATGCCAGGTTGTAGTTTCTCCACCCTACTCCCACACCATCACAGTAACCATCAGAAGATCAGCTAGGAGATCAAAAATAAACGCTGGCCTCTACGAAGCCTGCTGAGCGAGGCTAGTACGGTATAACGTCGGTCCCCAAAATGACAAAACCCCACCCCATTGAATAGTTACATCAAAAGTTGTGCATTGAGATAAGAAATGGTAGCCTTTAGAAAGCCTGGTGAGCGAGGCTAGTCGGTATGACTGCTGTCCCCGCCCTGCGAGACGCCGTTTGGTGTCAGGTTACACCCCGCGCCGCGCAGACCTATATTTGGCGCGAAAGGATTACACAAACTAACATCGCTAAATGGACACTCATTAAAACGTCGCTTTTTAGCAAATCTTAGAGATAATACAACTAGATTTCCGCGATTACTTTTTTATAAAAAGACTAAGAATTTAAATAAAGCTAAATTTTGCGCTAAACCTAACAATCAACGGTGGATACGCAGGAAAAACGTAACATTCAGTCGCTATATGAATATTTGCTACAATGTTATGCTGTAGCGAGTCTCATTTAATCATGATTATTAGAGGTTCGAAAGTGAAAGTTGCCCTCAAACTGTCACTTTCACTGCACGTAATGTACTACCAAAAGAAAACGTCTGCGCAATGTAAATGGAGGCGATATGTAGAACAAACACAACATAGACCCACCCTCCCACATCTTCTAAATCCTCAACAACTTTCACCACTTTCACTCTTCACTTTCTCTCTTAACTCTCACTTTCTCCCACTCACCTACATCCACCAGGGACCAGACAACGAGCGCGAACGTTAGAACAGACATGTTGGACATCCTCCACCCGACACCACTAGCCATGGCGCGACACACCAACAACTAACACGCAGTCAGTCCTTCCGTCCGTGCCTCCCTTCAGCTGAATGGCGGGAGCGACTCAAATGTCGTTCTTCTCATTCTGTCGTCTGCAAAGCTGTCACACAAACCCGTTTTCCCGCCAATATCTAGCCTCCACCAGGCCTTTCTACGGGAACATGGATCGTAGAATTCGGCAAAAAGGATAGTAAAATTGGCCAGGCGAGTCAGTTGGTTCTTTCCCTCCGAAGTGCGCGGCCAGTCAAACCTACAAGGCAGCCGAACTCCCCTGGCAAATATTCTCCAATAATAATAGCCAGCGTAGTCAGTCTGGTAGAGACTATCGTACAGCTGTGTTCTCCAGGATTCTGCCTGCTACAATCTGTGGATCTCCTCAGTAGAGTCCAGGCATCCCGAGCGTTAACGTCCAGGGGAGGGCGGGCATAGCTGGGCTCCGCAATGGGACTGTTTAAATCCAGATTCCGCTTCGTGATATGATGACAATCCGATGGTCGCGTGTGTGTAACTCGGGTGGCCAGCCAGTTGGTGCCTTGGTGGTATAAATGGCTCTCCGGCCGGTTCAGTTTACAATCAGGGAAAAACGTGTAAGCCAATAATGGTTCGTTCTTCTATCAATGGTGCTTTCAGGTTGGAGCTGAAGATTTTCGATGATGTTTAAAACCAGATTCGATATGATGACAATCCGATGGTCGCGTGTGTATAACTCAGGTGGCTGGTATAAATGGCACCACGGCCGGTTCAATTTTCAAGCAGGGAAAAACGCGCAAGCCATTGAAAGTCTCAATGATGCTTGGAGTTGAAGATTTTTGTGCTGTTTATCCAGAATCCAGATTCCACCGTGATATGATGACAATCAAGTCGCGCGTGGCTCAGTTGGTGGCTCGCCAGTTGGTGGGATATAAGTGGCACTCCGGTCGGTTCAATTACAAGCGAAAAGGCCGAGACATAAACGCGTAAGACGAAGTCTCAATGATGCTGGAACTCTGGTTTTAGAGTTGAAGTAAAACCAGAATTCCGTGGTGACATAATCCGGTCGCGTGTGCTCCAATGGCCCGTCACTGGGTACAAATGGAGGTTTCAATTTCTCTCCCGCTGATCTGGCTATCGATGTTTGTTCAGGGACATAACGCTCTGCACTGGGGGTGCTTTTAATAGATGATTATGAACTTTTGCTCCCTTAATATTTGTGAGCCCCACTGGTTATTAATGTTTTAATAGGGGCAGAACGCTCTGCACTGGGTTGCTTTTGATAGATGATTATAAACTTTGCGTTTGGTCTTTAGATACTTAAGAGCCCCGGTGGTTCTCAATGTCCACAAGCAAGCATAACGCTCTGTGTGTAACGCACTTAAGTGTACTTTTGATCTTTTTTGGTTCCAGTAGCTAGTATCAAAGGTACCCCGGTGCATAATGCTCTGACCTCGTTTTGCTCTTAATGGGCGATTATAAAGTGTGCTTTGCTCTTTTATTTTTCTTAGTTCCACTGACTATCTGAGTTTGTACAGCCGCATAACGCTCTACTCTACTTGCTTTTAATGTGCGATTGGTGCAAGTCTACGCTTGCTCTTTATTCGTGACATTTAGGGTGCAGTTTAGAGTGCGTAACTAGCGTTGATAACCGTAATGATAGCAGAAAACTGTCGATAATTGTGATGTTATATGAAAAATGTCAAAGAGACAGCCAACACTGGGGTTGGTAACGCTCTTCATCTGTGACATTTCAAACGGGGTTAAGGAGCGCTGCTTCTATTGAAGTGCGTGAAGAAGCGGGTAATCATGATGTTCAGTGTTGTATGTCAAAGAGACAGCCAACACTTATGGTAACTAAGGTCACATTTCCAAACCGGGGCCCAGTCGGGCTATTTGCGTGAACGAAAGATGTACACATGAAAAATATACACAAATAGTGTTCATGGTTAATTTTTCACATTTTTGTGTGTTTTGTTGTCTTTACATCATACTTTTCGGACCTTGGGTTTAAAACATTTTGAAAATTGAACCTTCTGAATGGCATTTCCTGCGTTTTTGAGAGGATTTCAAAGGAAACCATTCTTACTAGTATTCAATGAGAAAGTGAGCAGTTTTTGTGATACAAATCAGTCCATCTTCTACAGAAAAATCTTGGACCTTTAATTAAAACGTGGACCTTTAAGTCTTGTTCTTCCGATCCCCAAATGATATAGACTTGAGTTCGGACATGACGCCCCCCTCCCACTCCACCCCTGACATTGACGCACCCGTGACCTTGACGCTTCATATTTGCCCGCCAAGGTTAACCCAGAGGACAGACAGTGGTGACTGATGCCCCAAATTCGCGCCAAAGTAGTTCCGTCCGCCATATAAGTAAGAGGCAATGTCGCGCCTGACTTCTCTCTCACGTCATTACCAAAAGAACGGACGTACAAGGTCACTGGTAACCATGGTGACAGACTAGGCAGGGCAAGGCTCCAAGCAGATACTTGGGGTTTTCAAAGTAGTTCCACCCGCCATATAAGTAAGAGGCAATGTCGCGCCTGACTTCTCTCTCACGTCATTACCAAACGTCGGACGTACAAGGTCACTGGTAACCATGGTGACAGACCAGGATAAGGCTCCAAGCAGATACTTGGGGTTTTACAAAGTAGTTCCGCCCGCCATATAAGTAAGAGGCAATGTCGCGCCTGACTTGTCACTCACGTCATTACCAAACGACGGACGTACAAGGTCACTGGTAACCATGGTTACAAGGCTCCAAGCAGATACGCCTTTTTTTTACAAGGATCCGAACAGATACGTGGTTCTGGCTACACTGTACTTTCCGGACATAAGGAAGTATTGTTTTGGGTGTCTGAGCTGTGGGTTTGTGTGTCTGTTTGTTGTCCTGACAGAGTAGGTTGACAGCACGTGGTTTGGGGGAAGATTGACAGGCAGAATGACAGGTAAAAAGGTCAGAGACAGGAAATGGGGTGAACCTGAAGGTTACGAAAATTCAAAATAATTCTCAGAATTTCCGATTTCTTGTTTAAATGTTGTTGCGTTTGTCCTATAAGTCATACATTGTTTCGTATGGCCTATAGGACAACACCAGAAAACTTACAAAATACCGAAAAGGATAAATATCAAACCATGCATCAACATTGGGTCCGTGTTCCACTCAGGATTTGTTAATAAAAACAAATGTATCGGTACCCAGGGCCTTGGCCTATAAATGCCTGACTGGTCATTTATTGATTTAATGCCCAGCGAGCCTTTATTCTGGTTATTCTGCTGTAATTGTGCCATTTGGGGTAAATTGACAGGGGGGTTGGGAGTTGTACGCAAAAAAAACCAGTTTCTTAGGCAACTGGATGTGATTTTGGAAACAGTCAGACGTTTCAGGTAGCGTCTGCAACCTTTCGTCAGTGACTCTGGAGAGATGTAGAAAAGCAGGTTTATGCGCATGAACTGTCGATTGATATGCAAATAAGTGAAGACAATTTTTTTGGAAACTCCAAAGGGAAACAAAAGTTTGACAAGTCAAGACAAGGGGAATTGTGTCTAGTTGTGATTCCCTGCAACTATCAGTCAGTCAGTCAGTAGCTTTGTAGTTTTTATTTTGATTCGTTCGGGATTGATTACAAACCAAATACACAAACCACAATCATACCCAGAACCATGCATATCAAGACACGGTTTCTGGATGGTCTCCGTGAATCCAAGAACGTAGATTTGCCCAAGGCACAGTTCTGGATACGCGTGGACTATCCTTAACCATGCCTATGGTTCTGGATAAAACACGGTTCTGGATACAAAAACCCTCACACCCATCCCATCTCTCAGTTTTGTTCAAAGGACGACCCTACTACCATCTAAAGCCACAGTTGTTCAGAATTCTAAATTGCTTCATCATAAGACACGCTCCATTGATTTCATTGTATCCAAGAAGGTAAATTTCACCCAGGTATGGTTCTGGATATACCTGGACTATCCAGAACCTTGCCTGAGTTGGTTCTGGATAAAACCCGGTTCTAGATACAACAACCCCCACCCCCATATATTCCATCTAAAGCCGCAGTTCTAAATTGCTTCATCATAAGACACGCTCCATTGATTTGCTGCATGGCTGGGCTGAAGCATATTTGATATACAGCCTAACCTGTCATCCACACATCCTTCCTTACTCCAGCTGCCAGCTGCTCCAGTGTAGTAACTACAGGCCACGCATAGAGATCACAATTATACATACAAGTACGGAAGTTTAAAGTTAAAAATTTTGGTCCAACACAAGAAATTCTCTCACCTAGAGCTTTCGACCAGTCATTCTGGTCTTCCTCAGTAGACTGATCCAGTGAGGCTTGTCACGTGGCTTCTTTGAAGTGTGACGTCAACAGAGTGACTGGTCGAAAGCTCTAGGTGGGAGAATTTTTTGTGTTGGACCAAAAGGTTTAACATGTAACTACCAACACAGATGAACTTTCATGATATCATAGTATAACTACGGTATTGGTTTGGATGGCTGGGCTGACGTGTATTTGATATACAGCCTAACCTGTCATCCCCACATCCTTCCTTACACCCTCCCAATCTGTGGCCAGCTGCTCCAGTGTGCCAGCTACAGGCCACGCATAGAAATCACTACTATACAGAGCAGAAGGACAGAGTAGGATGACAGTACGTGGGTGGGGGAGATTGACAGGCAATGGGGTGGAAAAATGATGGTCATGAAATTAAAAATACTTCCCATAAATCTGAAATCTTCTATTTTTGTTTTATTTCCAGAAAAGTATGTCGTCTATGTCTTCTCTCACGCATTCATACACCCTGAACACACGTTCATAATCTCTAAGCAAATGAGTGGCTTTTGTCCATTCTGTATATCTTAAAGTCATTCGCTATTTCAGCACAGTACAATTGTGAAATGGCAAAGGGAAACAGGAGATTTCCTTTGCGTATCCCAGACTAAATCAAAAGCTTCTTAAGGCTATGTGACAATCAGAATGTGAGACCAAAGCAAGAAAACAAAACAACTCACCATACATCTTATTAGAAGAAACTAGCCTCTACCAGGCTTTGGAAGGCGGCTGGAAAGAGTAGAAATCGACCAAATAGAGAGATTACATGCCGGGGAGTTGGTCCGCTTGAGAGAACTGTTTGCTGCACCTGACCGCCTCCTGAAGCCTGGTAGAGGCTAGTCCTACCCTGCCATTATAAACTCCATCAAGCGGGCGGGTTGGCCTCTAATGATAAAACTTACCTTCGACATTTCATGGAGCTTCTATATATCACAGAACTCAATGGCGATGAATATATATGTACATGTACATTTGGCACAGCAAATTCTTGGCACATTGTCAACTGATGTTAACGTATTAGATATATAGCAGTTATTTTGTGTCATTCAATACGAAATGAGGTGCACTTTTTAAATATATGATCACATAATCTAAAAGTTGTGCATGCCAGATGACTATTGAAGTCTTCTTTGTCTTTTTGTTACTTTAAGTTCAATAAGAGACAGTCCATGTCTGAAGGTGACATTGTGTCATAGCGTCATTCTTTCATTGTATCATTGTCAACATGTCTTCCTGGACGTCATTGGTCTATCCTTACATGTGGTTTGTAACGTCTTCTACTATTGGTTCGTCACCTGTCGACATTGTCCCATCAGTGACGTCCTCTCTCCTTTTTACTCGAAAGTTGCCATGTCTTCCTATCTGTGATTGGTCAGTCTTCACTGAGTTTTTGTAACATCAACCCCTATTGGTTAGTTGTCTTAACCAATGAGCAGTGAAGGCAATGCTGTGAAGAAGTTGTGCATCTCAGCGTGAGTGAAGAAAGCTTCAATGAGTTCGCACAGGCATGTTGGTTGGTCCATTAGTAATGCAGTACTGCGCAGGTCCAAGCCATTTGGTGATGGTGAGCAGTTCCAGACAATAAGTTTGTAGCATGTGGTTCCGTTAGTGTGCAAGTCCTTGCCGTTTGTTGGTGGTGAGCAATGGGGAAGGCAAGATATTACGACAGCTCGATGTCAGAGTCTCAGTGTCAGATTTTCTGACAGTTCAGTATGATATGAGCTGCAGACAAGTTCGTACAGGCATGTTGGTTGGTCCATTAGTAATGCAGCACTGTGCAAGCCGTTTGGTGGTGAGCAATCAGATTTTATGACAGCTCGTTGTCAGATAAGTCGGATATACGACAATTCAGTAGGATATGACGACCGACCTGTCAAACACAAAGGGCGGCAGGAAGATGAGAAGGGAGCCGATCAGGGAGACCAGGAAGAAGAACCACATGAAGAATCGGTCCAGCACCAGGGCTGCATACTGCCAATCATCGGATAACTGCAGAGAGAAAAATGTACGGTTATGTGGATTGTCACATCAAAGTACAGTGTACATCCCAAGTCTACGGGCAGATTGAAAAGACAGTTTTTGAGTGGATGGTATTCAGCACCAAGGACAGATGTGTTTTCTGTTCTCTGATGGTATTCAGCAACCATGAATCACAAATCACTTAAAGCATACCTTTCGAGTCAACTTCTAACCCAGCATTGCCTCAAGCAAATCATTGTATAAATTGACTCACTTGACTTGACTGATGTCAAGTGCCAACATTCCTCAACCACTCAAACCATGGCGCTCGCCCAGGCGTTTATATCACTCATACTGCTTCCCTATGCCATCCATAGGCAGCCAGATATCTCTCTTCAACACCTCTATGTACAAATATACATGACGTGAAGATAACAGTAAACATGTACCGATGAGTGCAGCATGTCACCCCGGAGGCTCTTGGCGATAGAGTTGATGTTTTCCACGGTGGCCCGAAGTTCAGGAGGGGTGTAGTGTTGTTCCTGCCTGTGCAGCTGCAGGTTACGCGTCAACCTGTACACATAGAAAGAACTCTGATTATATAAGACACAATCGCCACATATCTAACTCCAAACATGACCAAAAGAACTGTGGAATGAAGAGGCCCCTCTGTATCTAATGGCATGCAGGGGATGATACCGACTTCCAACCAGCTTTGTCCTATTGCTCACACATCAGGAAAGTTACTTGTCCAGAACAACTGTGCAAGTTGTATTGATCAAAAAAGAACAAATATTGAGTCCAGAACTTGCTATCTCTTTGTTGTAAAGACGTTTTTTCTTAATAGTGCATCTAACAGATCTAGACTAAAACTTGTGGACCTCACGCTTCCCCTGGGTCTGATGCTAGTCTACACTGTCTTGCCCACAGGCAATGGGAGGACATGTAACAATACCTACACAAACCCTGAGCACTAAAACCTTGGTCAACATGAGTCAACCTACACAAAAACTGGGCCTCAGGCAACAGGAGCACCATACTTCCTTACCTGGGGCTTCCCCTGGGCCTGATGCTGGCGTACACAGTCTCTCCCTCGGGAAATTCGTCCAGCACATCTGCCTGACTGTTCAGCAGCATCTCACTAACTTTGCTGCTGCCTGGTCTGGTCATGCAGAGCATCCGAGGCAGGAGTTGTAGTAAAACCTGTAGGAGAAAAGGAAAATGCGAGTTACTACAGGAACAATAGAATATGCAGTTGCAAATATGTTCTCTTAAGCCATCTCCACATGGACGTTGATCACGAAGAACTACTGCATAAGTGTAACTGCAGAGATGTTCATGATGGTTCAACACACTCACATGGACACACACACACACACACACACACACACACTCACACACACACACACACACACACACACACACACACACACACACACACACACACACACACACACACACACACACACACAGACACAGACACAGGCATACACACACACACACATGCACACACACACACACACAAACACACACACTCTCACACATACACACACACACACACACACTCTCACACATACACACACATACAACACACACACACACTGTATGATACACACACACACACACACACACACACACACACACCCACACACACACACACGCACACACACACACACACACACGTACATTGTAGTTAATAGTCATTTCTTACCTTCCTGGCCCACCCTGGCATGGGGTCTGTCCTGTCGCTCAGATGCAGCACCACAGTCGTAACCACCACAGACAAAATCACGCACACCGTCGTCAAGAGCAGGTACTTCCCTAGCAACGGCACAGCCAATGACGTGGACGGGATGATCTTCACCACCACCAATAGGAACACAGCTAACGATAGCAGAATCGAGATACACAGCGTGATCTTCTCGCACGCTTTAGACGGTAGATAGAACACCAGTAGTGACAGGAACGTGAACAGGAGGCAGGGAATGAGCAAGTTCACAGTGAAGTAAAGAGGAAGTCTCTCCAGAACGATGTACGCGGTGATGTCCACGTACGGAGGACAACACTCGTAGGACAGCACGTGTCTGTAGAGAGGCGCGCTGGTGATGACGAACTCCCCGTTCTCTAGGAAGTTAGACAGGTCCACCTGTGGGAGGAAAGGACATCTTTGTTGGCCTGAGAATAGTATGGCGTAAGGTTTTCTACAACTATACTTACAGAGAAGGAAGTCCAGTGAAGTTATAAACAAATATATGGATACAAATGTCAGCAATGAATAAAGACATAGAAGATTCAAAAAATAGAATGTAGGACTCTCAAAGTTTTGCAATCTCTAAGCAGATGGCATGGCTTGTCTTTGTCTTTGTAAATCTTTCGCTGTTTGCAAAGTGTATCTTTTAGATTGTAACTTCCTCACTGAATGTCCACTTCACCTTTAGAGATAAGTACATACTAAACAAGTGAAACCTAAACATCTGCTTGGCCAAATCAAACATTCTTTGTAAATAATCGTACAGAATCGACAAGTGCATCAGTGATGATATTCATTCATGATCGCTAAAAGATTTCATAGTGACGTAGATCATTTATTTCAGAAAGTCGCAAAGGTGCAGCCTAACCCTTCCATAAACAAACAAAAAGAAACAAACAAACATACCACGGGCTCTATGGGGACCATGTCGACCACAGTGGCGTCGTATGTCCAGGTGCCGAACTTCATGGAACAGTTTTGCCGGTCGAACGGGAAATACGTCACGTCGATGTAACAGTAGGACTTGTAGATTCCCGCTGGCGTCCACACTACCGTTCCATTGTAGAACAACGTCGCTTTGGTGAAGGAAGAAACCTCAAACTTTCCATCAGCACTGGAGAAAAGGAAGTAATGAAGGAAGGAATAAAGGAATGAGTAAAAGGAGGAGAGACTGTAACAGTACGACTTGTAGATTCCAGCTGGCGTCCACACAACTGTACCATTATAGAACATGTTCGCTTTTGTGAAAGAAGACACCTCAAACTTTCCATCAGCACTAGAGAAAAGGAAGGAATGAAGGAATAAATGAAGGAATGAGTAAGAGAAGGAGATAATGTAGCTGTAGGACTTGTAAATTCCTGCTGGCGTCCAGACAACTGTGCCGTTATAGAACAGCGTTGCCTTCGTGAAGGAGGAAACTTCAAACTTTCCATCAGCACTGGGATAGAGGGATGAGAAGAATGGAGAATAAATGAATGAAAGAGTCTGTCACAGAAGAACTTTATTGCACAAGTCTGTCTTTCATATAGTTTCACATCATGTACGGAGTCAAGATGACACTAACCATGAATTAGATTTGATTTGGCCCTACTTAGTAAACTTGTTGTAAAGCAGCACAATAGCTATACCCTAATTTCTCTGATCCTTTGCCTTTCTGTCATTCTGCCTGTCAATCTTCCACCCACATGTGGTCAACCCCTGCTCTGACACAAAACAAACAAACCAGCCACCCAAAAGAATACTTCCGAAAGTGTCTGTTGCTACTCACTTGTTGTAGAGCAGCACATCTGGGATCCAGATCATGTCCACGGGCACCTTGATCCGCGTGATCCCATCATACTCTGCGGGATCCCACTTCAGCTTGTAGTCTTCCCAGACCTAAGGGTACAAGGGTCAATAACCTGAACCAGACGTCTGTCACCATGGTAACTAATGTTGGGTTACATCATGTTGCAATTTTAGCAGGAGGGATTTAGACTCCTATCATCATATATGAAATGTGTGTTTCGGTAATTAAGAATTAACAGAGCAGACCATATGCGAAGGTAAACACTATGCATTTACTTTGTAAATGTTTACCTTTCTAGCCTATTCATGTGTTTCCTCCTATATCATTCTGGATAGTCATCTCTTATACTGCACAATGACTGAATGAGTGGCATTTTTGCTCAGATTCTTGTCCTGCCTGCTGTATCCTTTGAACTTTATTTGATAAAAACACGGCAGGAGTAACTCCTGAATTGTGTTGTAATTTACAGCAGTCTGAAATTTCTGAACCGCGCTTTATCCAGAACCAAGAATCAGAGACAACCTCGTATTTCTGCACGTTGATTTAGTTGTTCGTATACTCTTGATAGTATATCATGCCAATGGTTTCCTGTCATGATGATGGTGCTGAAGCAAAGGAAGTTGACTTACCTGCTTCAGCCACACACTTGTCGTCATCACCTGGTCCTTCATGTTCTTTAAGACACAAGAAAAGTAAATAAGATACCATTTCAATAACCATTTCAAGCAGTGTCCAGAAGCACTTACAGAAAAAAGTATAAGTATAAGTTTAAGTATCTATGTATAGTTTTTTTTCCGGGTCACAGACAAATACAGACATAGTGGTGGCACAACTTGAGTAAACAAACTTATGTTGGCACTTCCAGTATCCTTGTCCACATGACATGTCTTCCGAAAAGTCATTGGTCTATTCTTACAGGAGGTTTGTAACTTCTTCCCTATTGGTTAGCTGTCTATGGGCATTGTCCAAGCAATGACGGTGACAGTGAGAGACAACAAAAATGCTTCTTAAAGTTCATACCTATCCCATACTAGCTACCTAGGCCCACTCTTGTATCTCTTTAGCCTTATGAAAGCTAAAGTGTAGTTAATCTCAATTCACTCACTCACTAATTCCCTCCCTCCCTCATCAATTCATTCATTCATCCATTCCACAGCTACCTACCAGCCCGACTATCTGTGACAGTGAGAGGCCAAACTTGACCGAGACGATGTGAGTTGTGTTGGAGACCATTAATTAATTAATTAATCAATCAATTAATCATTTATTCATTCATTCATTCATTCATCGATTCATTCATCCATTCATCCATTCATTCATTTGTCCATTCATTCATTCACTCATTCATCCATTCAATCACTCACTCACTCACTCATTCCTTCATCCATTCATCCATCCATCCCACAGCTACTGACCAGCCCAACTGTCTACCCCAGGTACCTACCAGTCCGACTATCTGGGAGAGCGACAGCCCGAACTTGACGCTGACAATGTGAGTCGTGTTGGAGACGGGTCGGGGAAAGGAGTTGTAGTCAGCAAACAGATCCTGCATCAACCTGACTTCATGGCCCTCATCTTCTACTGCTGCACAGCCTGGAGAACAAACAAACAGGTAAATACAAACACAAGCAGGTAAACAAGAACAGGTAAATATAAACAGGTTCTGCATCAACCTGACTTCATGGCCCTCTTCTACTGCAGCACAGCCTGGAAAACAAACAGGTAAATGAAAACATGTAAATATAAACAGTTAAACACAAAAAGGTATTACAAATAGGTAAGCAACAAGAGCACAGAGAAACAAATCGAGATATTTCTCTTGTTCCTGTGGATTTCAAAGTCACGGTCAAATTTTATTCAATGCCTAAAACCTTTCCTGGTCCATTTCCTTCCTATCAGCCAAGTTCATGTCCCACCGCAAAGGTTTTGTCCTTTCCAAGACGCACAACCATAACCCGTGTCCCCAAGTTCACAGCTGGTAACCCAGACACTGTTTTGTTGTAGCAGAGCATGATGTGATGTCACGACTGATTTGCCATGCACCTGTCATAACAGGCCTGGGCGAGACCATTGTAGTCATGTGGGTGGGGGTGTTCTCGTGAGGATGCCCTGCACCTGTTGCTGCGGTCAAACAGACTCGGGTGAGACCATTGCAGTCTGCAAGGGGTGTTCTTATTCCTCCCACCCCCAGTTATGCAACTGTTACTGCAGTCAGGCAAACTTGGGCGATTCCATTGCAGTCTCTGTGTCTCCTAGTATCTAGTTCAATGCCTGAATGGGTTATGGTTGGTAAAATTTGCCAGGAATGGCTTTTCAATGTTTTAAACCATTGCTTATAGTACTCTTACAAATAGAGTGTAGACCCAGGCAACAACTGTTGCATCACATCTAATACAATACAACACAACGCATACAATGAATGAATGAATGAATGAATGAAAGACCTCTATTGTACATTTATGCCTTTGCAAATACAGGTCATGGTGATATAAATTTCTATGTACAAACAGTGATGCAGTCTGGTATCATACAATACTGTTTCCACTTGGTATGACCTACCTCAATACAATGGTACTGGGCGGTAACAAAAAATTACATTCCCTCAACATAACATAATATTTTGATAGCCTAACTCTGTTTTCTTGTGACCTGAACCATACCCATATGACATAGTTTTGTCTTGTGTTGTAATATTTATTTTTGTATCTAGTGGTGACGTGAATATAAGCGTATTGCTTGAGTGCGTCACCACTATGTATTGTATTGTTTGTATGTTGAAATAAAAAATAGTGACCCCGCTATGTTTCATACCTTTTTATATGATAGTACACTGTACAGTACGGTGACTGCCACCTTTGTTAGAAACCTACACCCACACACCCCCGCAAGCCATATGGATGCACCTGTTGCCGCAGTCATACAGCCCTGGGCGAGACCAATGCAGTCTCTGTGAGGGGTGTTCTCGTGTGAGCAAAAATACAGACTCAATAGAGTTTACTTCTAGCATGTGTCCACCAGTTTGAGCACTGAGTGTCACCCTCTAAAATCTACACCAGTAAAAAATCTCCTGCAAGTTAGCGCCTGGACGCAATGAAAACTAACAATTCCTCAACATAACACAACGTAATACGGCCCCCATTCTTTTACGTACCGTGGTACAATGCAATTCTCAGTACAATACCTTTCCCAATCCATAACATACCTACATTCAATGGTACTTGGCGGTAATAAGAAGTAATAATCCCTCAACACAATACTGTGTTATTTTACTCCATACTGTTAACTTTGTAATGTCTTTGTACGCTTTTCTTCAATTGTAATAAATGTATGTATATATCTATGTAATGTGTAGACCACAGGAAAAATAGCCTCTTTTGAGGCTAATTGTGGATCTGAATAAAACTCAAACTCAACTCAAACAATACTGACCTCGCTTCATAACATACCTCCATACAATACCACTCGGCGTACTGGGCGGTATACTCGCTATGTATTATTCGGCGGTAACTCGCTTAAATGCAATTCTCACTACTGGGCGGGGACCGTCATGCCACATTTGTAAGATAGAGTCTTAGAGACCTCGCCCGCATTTGAATTATTTATTAGCTTGGCTTTGTGGCTCCCTATCTTTAACGCCGCTTCTGAAAAACCGAGTCCTGTTCAGCCGCCCGTGAGGGAACGTCAAGCTACAGAAAAATGAAGAAGACGACTCTTCTCGCCTTAGCCGTGGCCTTTCTCGGCTACCTGTTCATCGGAGGAGGAGTGTTTCACGTCTTGGAGTCTCCACACGAGAAGACGGTGCGAGAAAACACCTTTAAGGTGCAGAAGGAGCAGCAGGAACACTTCGAATGGATGTTCGACGACGACTACTTCCAAAACGCCACGACAGGGTACTGGAAGAACCCCGACCTTCCTCTTACACAACGCCAAGTAGAAAAGCTGGTACGGAAAGCACATATCTACCTAGACAAGGCAGTCCAAAACCTGACCTGGGAGACATACGAATGGCCTGGCAGCAACAACACTACCAGAACCGTCAACACTATCAAACGCAAACACCTCCCCATAATCATCCTGACTCAGCACGAACTAGAAGGCATCATGGAGTCCGTTTGGACCGCCTCGGAGAGCGGACTCGATCCCTTTAGCGACGAAACCGACAGTTCTCCGCCTAACTGGGACTTCATGCCGTCCATAGGATTTTCTATGACCGTAGTCACCACCATCGGCTACGGCGCTACCACCCCTAAAACTACGGGCGGGCGAGTCTTCACCATCTTCTACGCGTTGTTGGGGATCCCTCTCACGGCTGCATTCCTGAGTGGGATAGCGGGTGGCATGAGCGAAGTCGTACGGAAGGTGACCAACGCTATCCAGAAGCGGCACCCCAAGTGCAGTCCCGCTACTGCCTCCCACATCGCGTGGACATTCTGCCTGATCTTGGGCTGCGGTGTGTTCCTCGCATTGCCGGCCTACGTCGTCCACTTTGTTGAAGAGTGGACCTTCTTAGAGTCTGTGTACTTCATATTCGTGTCACTTAGCACGATCGGGTTTGGGGATTTCGTGACGGGGATCCAGAAAAAGATCTACTGGGAAGGGTACCGGATCCTCACCCAGATCTGGATCCTCGTCGGCCTGGCGTTCTTAGCCACGATCTTCGACCTCATCTCACAAGCTATCAAGAAAGTGGAGGACAGGATTGAAGAGGAAGCGGAAATAGAGGGAGGAGAAGAGACGACAGGAGAGGAGAATCTTGGAGAAGATGCAGCGGAGGAGAAGGAGGGGCAAAGTGATGGAGACAACAAGAAGGAAGCGCAAGAGCAGACCGATGAAGAGGAAACAATGAGAGAAACGGAAACTCCGGTGGTGACACCCCGGCAGAGCAGCACCAGGAGGCCGCGTGTGCCGCTCATCATGATCGTGGATAACCCTGGAGCTCAGGAAAGGCAAGCCAAGCAACACGTGTGGCAGATGTAGGTGTAAAACTCACATACAACAGTTAGAAAAGGATGGACGGGTCGCATTTGTCTAGAACTACGGTGGAGTGGAACACTGCATCCTCATAGGTATGACTGGCAGATGTATGTGGAAAACTCCAGTATCAGACTTATAAACGATCGAAGGGTACAAAAAAGGTAGTACCTAGCACTACTGTAGAGTGGAATTTGTTGCTACCAAGTACACTAGAGTCCTCAGTCCTCACTATGGATGTCTGGCAGATGTGACAAAGATGCAGCAAGATGTACATATATTTTTAGACCCTTAATTTGTTTTTGTTCTTAATGATGATAGACCCAAATGTGTGTTGTCTAAACGTAGTCAAGTTCGTGTCATGTATGTTTATGTACGTCTGTACGTTTCGTGTGTTTTGATTTAGCCCAGACCTTACAAAACACTTCATAGCGTTCTGCACTACCAAGAGAGGAATTTCTGTTTGTCATCCATTCCAAACTATGACCATGCAAGACCTTTTCCAATTTTCTGTACATAGAATCGGTATATACTGTACATAACGCGTGGCCTTGTCACAATCAGTGTATTATAGTGTCTGTCCTATAAAGTATAAGTTGTATTTGGATAGTGGCATATTTTGTTATTGTAGTAATGTTCATTGTACTTGTAGTCAAGAATAACAGGGTTTTTGGTACATAGATCTTGTATATAGTGTACATAGCATGTGGGCTTGAAAACCAGTGCATTAATGCTAATCTCCAAGCAGATATTTCGGTGGGAGTAAGAACGTATCAAATTGGCCAGTCTGTATCCATTTGCCCACCGAAGGCTGGCCAATATGATACTGTCTTACCCCCACCGAAAGATCTGCTTGGAAATTACATTGTTTGTGCCCTTTAAGCTATAGTTTGGCCGTGACTATTTTTGTTGCACTGTTCATTGTGCTCAAAGTCAAGAATAACAGGCTTTTCGGTACATAGAACCTGTATATACTGTATAAAGCGTGCTTTTCTCACAACCAATACAGGTATGTCCTATAAGTTATTATAATAGTGGTTGCGACGTCTCATTTTTATTCCAATGTTTGTTGTGCTTTAAGCGAAGAGGATGTTCGGTCCACGGAACCCGCATGTACCTCACATATCGTGTGGCATTGAAAGCGACTTAATGAATAGTCTGTCACAACCTGTTGTAACATGCTGTAATGTTCATTGTGCTTGTAGTGAAGAAAAGCAGGATTTTCCAGTACAGTGAACATACAGAATACATACTACAGCAAATTGGAAGCTTTTATTGCGGCCCCGTTTCGGGGGGCGGCTGGATGTTTTTTTTTATTCCAACATGGGAGGGCAACTAGCAAAGGTGCTTCGCACCTGTTTTGCCCTCCCTTTCACTTTGTGAAAAATTTAAATAAACAAATAAACAAATAAACAAACATGTAATCACCAGACGTGGTGACGGCACACTCAAGTTTTTTCTACTTATATTAATGCCCCACCAACACGGGACAAATACATGACAATACTCATTTCACCTGAACGAAGTCAGGAACGTCGTGTAAAGTGCGTTTTGCTGGATGTTGGGCGGCCGGCAACCGTAAAGCGATTTAATCAGGCTATATACTGTCTTGCAGTCACCAA